TTTTTTTTATCAAATTAGCATTTAGATGCACCGTACAAATTTAAGGTAGGATAATATAAAGAGAGAAGTTACTGTCAAGTCCAATCATCCACAGCTAGTGTAATAAAAGGAATACATAAAAGACAGGATAGTAAATCGAGCTGGAATATAGTCTATGGCATTTGATATGCAGAACCATCCATACTTTGGGGGATATTGTAACTAAAAGTAGTAGCAGGAGCATATGGAAAATAAAAATACTAACCATTTTCTGACGTTGATTCAATGCTTGCAATTTATGTCTTTCATACTCATTCCTTCTCCCTTCTTTCCTTAACTGCATGTTAACGTTATATGCCACATACAATCAAAAGTGAGCCAAAGGGGTCTTTGTTTCAAAAAGGAAAGAGAAAAAAAGAATAAAAACTGGAGTGAAAATCCCAAGCAAACTATCTTTTAGCGGAGAAATAGTTTGCCATGGCCCATGTAGAATTACCTGCAGTAATTCCTTTTCTCGAGATGCTTTCCACTGTCGAAATTGTTCAGCTTCTTGCTTTATTTTTTGGTGCAGCTGAACCTGCAATGGCAGAAGAATATCAAACATCATAACACTATAAATTGTGTGTGCATATTAATATATTTTTTATATATATTGTTGGTGTGAGATGTGAATACACAGAAAATAATGACCTTTTGTGCCTTAATACATTGTATTTCCTCTTGCAGTTTTCTAGCAGCTTCATCACTCTTCTGTTTCTGTTTTAGAAGTTGAACCTGATTCTCTTGTTTCTTTTTAAGATCTTGTATCTGATGTGACAAATTGCAATAGTATAAGAGACTAAAGGATATGCTGTGACAGACTGAAGGTGTAAGTTAATTATATATGATATATATTGCAAAAGAACGTAAAATGTGAAACCTGGGCCTCAAGCATTTTTAGTTTCTGAGCATGCGTGTCCTGCAATTTTTGTGCCTGTCCATCAGAATTAGCTGAAAGGTTTTCAACCTCTGCCAACAGTCGATCCCTTTCCCGCTGCATAAATTAAATGTTGTCAGGAAGCAGTTTAATAGAAGGAAATTAATTTCTTTAAAAATGTACGATTGGATATAGATTATTTTGAAAAAAAATGTCTCAATAGTAAAAGTGGTAAACAAAGTGGAAAAAAATTATTGGGTGGAAGAATAAATTATTTATTAGTTTGTAAAAAGATATGAGATAAATTACAATGATTGTATAATAAAATAGTAATTGTAAATGATTGGATTGAAGAGAAAAAAGTAAGAATAATAAAATAAAAAAAAAGTAAATTCTGTAGAAGAAAAATTATCCAATCACATATTCAGAATTAAAAGATTTATCCAGCGAGACGAAACATGATATAATTTATATCCATTAGTTCCCTTAAAAGTCTGGGAATTCAATTTTCTTATTGCGAGACCTGCACTGTTCTTTTTTCCTCCTCAAGTTCCATAAGCTTCTTTCCAAAGTGTTGCTTTAAAGCTGTGGTGTCATTTACTCCAAAAAGCTTCATCTGCGACTGCAATCCATAATTTTATGCAAAAAAATATCCGATATCATGGTCTAAATTCATTTGAACTTAACATTAATGATTAAGCAGGAAAACTGAATTGAAATAATAAAACAATGAAATCCCCCTCAACTACAAATCAAGGAAGAAAAAGTACTAATGTTAAGTCCACATGATCCACATGATAGCATACGTTTAAACTTTTTCTAAATGTAGTTCTATGCAACAAATATTGAACATACTAAATGATTGCTATCTAACCCTCTAAGCATATGTTTTTACATATGACAACAGAACAAGATACTTTTGCAAGAGATTAAACCAAATAAATGAAATATTACCTCTTTCTGCTCCAACTGTCGATTTAACTCGCTCATTTCTTTATCCATACTGTTCTGCAAGTACGTATGCTCCAACTCTTTTACTGTATCTTCATCAATGTCACCAGAATCACCTGCAAACAATAAAGGATAGTTCGAATCTACAAAAATGTACTGATTTTCTCCTCCGCCTTCTTTTTTCTTTCCCCTTTTTCAGGGGCATGAAGTTTAAGTTAATTAAGCTCATTGACTATATTAATAGAATTTAACGCAGCTTCATTAGTTTCAGAAATAGAAATGAAATTGGAAGCTGGTTCTAATGTAGAGAAGTATACTGGTTATGCTGCCTTCACTCATTTGATAATCAGATGAGTCCATAGTTTGCAACTCTCTTTTGAGACCTTCACTATTAATTGCGCCACTTTCATAAGCCTGCAAAATATTACTAGTAGTTTTAACCTCGAGCACAATACAGATTTTACTTGCTTAACATTATAATGTGGTACATCTGAGTTAATATTGCCTGCTAATGACAATTTACGTACTTTAATTTCGGCTTCGTGCTGCTTCATGCAACCATTTACATTACGAAACTTATGGAGTTCCCGAGACAACTCCTCATTAGTAGCCTCAAGCCAAGCAATTCTACTTTTAAGAACCTGCAAATATTTTAACCACAGTTAAACTTAAATCTCTTCCCCTGTAATCTTTCATGATTCGCACATAAATCTCAGACATACATCGCAGTATATAGCAGAGTTGAAGGATTAATCAAATGGAGAAATTGTTGGTACATGTGAAAAAGGTAGGATTTATCGTGTTCAGTCCAGGGCCAACCTTTAAATGCCTCAGACTAGTTTTGAAAAATACTTAGCCCTCAGTACAAATGCTGAAAGACATGTGAAATTACATATAAAATTAAAGAGTTCTTGTATAACTTAAAATATATTCTAGCTAACACGTATAATCAATTCAGTCATTGGTTTTTAGTCATGAAGAAAATGCAAAATATTTTATCTCCTTGAAGAGCTTCAGAAAAAGACAAAAAAATTACAAAATAAATAAATAAATAAATAAATAAGATTGCTGCTTTTTACCTGTATTTCATCAAATGAAACTCCTCCACCACGGGCACAAAGTTCAGCCTGTAGATATTCCAACTGTTGACGCATCTTTAGCATCTCAGTGGATATTGGATCTCTATTAATCTGGGCAAACCAATGAATTTTGAACAAGAAGTAAATCAAATCTTAATATGGCGAAATAAAACGTGGGGAGAGCAAGGAACAGTCGAGATAACTTACAACAGGTTTGTTTTGGATATTACGAGCACGATTGGCATATTTCAGAGTGTTGAGAGTTTCTTCAGCATTTATATCAGCCGGACTAATACATGCTGCAAAAAAAAAAATGAGTAAAATATATGGAAAAAAAAATAGTAAGCAAGCACTTTAGTTCACTGACATTGAATGTGCATGATAATGAAAAAATTCATTCGTGTTACTATATTTATATATGTGTGTGTGTGTGTGTGTTGAGGAACATAATGATTACCTATCATCACTGTTTTGCTGTTCCCACCAAGAGAATCCTGCAAACACTCCAAGCTTCAGAGTTCAGTAACTGAGCAGAAAAGTCAGTTTGCAGTTGAGGAAATACTTGGTCAAAGAGAAAATGCAAGTTGTGCAATAGTCCAACCTGAAGCAGCCGAGTAAGTTTACTATCCCGATAAGGCACATGAACGCCTTCTTTCCGCTTTTTCTCGTCACCAAGTGCGCTTATAACGTTACCGAGTGCGAGGAGACCTTTGTTAATGTGAACTCCTGTATAAAAGGGTATGCGTTACTAGGTGTTTACCAAGTTTGAGAAAAGATAAACTAAGACACATATTTCAAGCAAACACTATATTGTTTATTCTTCTTTACCTTCCTTAAAACGTAGACCATCTGAGCCTGTTCTCTTGGCACGTTCTGAGCCAGCAAGATCCACCAAATGCAACTTGGCACTTAGATACTCCTCAGACATATAGTCAGTTAGATTGCCATTACTTGAAATACTAGGATGAAGTTTACGCATCTGCTCCACTGTGATTGTGAAAATGGCATGCGACCGGCTGGGGAGAGAGAGGGTGAGAGGAATTAGTATATCCACCGATCTCATTATTTTTGCCAGATAAGTTCGTTGAACATATATACTAACAAATACACCTGATATACAGATTTGGTCAACATATTCCATCGAAAACGACAAACTCATTTTTTATATGAATTCAAATAGTTCAAGCACAATAAAGTCAAACTTCACATGTTGGGTACTATTGTGCCTTCCATAGTCAGACAATAGTATCACGCATGTCCAACTTAAGAGATACATGACATGCACTCTCATAACTTAAAAAAAACAATCTCATCTTTTTCCCCAGAACGAAGATGTAAGATTTTTTTAAGAAAGCACATGTATAAAAAACACCCACTATGTAGATTCGAATAATGCACCTTGACTGATTGTTCATGTTTGTACTCCCTGTTGCCCTGCTTACAGACCCTTGCTCTAAACAATCAGCCATCTCTTTGAGTGTCTTGACACTGCACTCGGTGGACCCCGCAAGTGTGATAACACCACTGGAACTCTCACGAATCTGAATTGGAGGTTTCCCAGGGTTCGCCACTTTAGCAGCATGTCCATTTGTTGTCTCTTGTTTGTTAGTGGAATCAGGATCTAGCAGGTCTCTTACTTCTTCTTTATGTATCTACACAATAAAATACAGAGAATGTCAGCACCGAATAACATGTAATGCTTAAGATACTCAAGAACCATATAAATACTGAATGTGTACGTTAATTACAAAAGAAAGTTACTATTAGCAACTAATGATCTTATTGAAGAAAAAATTGGTATTTGTATAGTGGAAAGTACTACATTGATCAAGAAGTTTAATCAATATAAGCATCAAATTTGTTGTTTAATTGCAAAATTGCCATGGAGGTTCAGTCCAATAACAAAGTAACCAAGCAATCTTCCAAAACTATGAATACTTCCTTGAAAATTTTTTTCCAGTTTGCAATATGCACACTGAAGAGAAGAATGTTCGTTAAAACAATTTCATACGTCAAGACAAAATGTTGTAAAGTGGAATTTGTAATTTTGATTTCAGTAGTTAATTTATCTAATATCACTTAAAAAAAAAAA